CCACTGGACCCCAGGGAAACCACCCTCCATAAAAAGGTAAGAACCTGGAGGGTGGCTAAATGTATGTCTGTGTGTTTGTTAGTATGTCTGTGTGTGAGTGTGTGTATGTCACTATGTCTGTGTGTTTGTTAGTATGTCTGTCTGTGTGTGTGTATGTCAGTATGACAGACATACGGACATATATACACACACACACACACACTGACATACACAAACATACTGACACACACACAGACATACTAACATACACGCACAGACATGCTGACATACTAACACAGACATACTGTGTGTATATGTCTGTGTGTGTGTGTGTATGTCAGTATGTCTGTGTATGTCAATACGTCTGTCAGTGTATGTGTTTCAGTATTTCTGTCAGTGTATGTGTCTGTGTGTGTGTCAGTATATATGTCAGTGTATGTGTCTGTTTTTATGTATGTGTGTCTGTGTGTGTATCAGTATGTCTGAATGTGTGTCAATATATTTGCCAGTATATATTTGTATGTCAGTTTGTATCTGCGAATGTTTTAATATGTCTGTCTGTCTGTGTGTATGTGTCAGTATATCTGTCAGTGTGATTGCGGGTTGGGCGTAATGGGGAGGGGGGCGCAGGGACAGGGCCCAGGGGGCCCAAGAAAATGCTTTGCCCAGGGTCCTATTCATATTATAGACGGCCCTGCCCGTGTGCCTCACTTCTTCAATTCCAACTCTCTCTTTGACCCTCTTCAGTCTGGCTTCCACCCTCTCCACTCTACTGAGACTGCTCTCATCAAGGTCACTTAATGACCTAATCGCAGCTAAATCCAAAGGTCACTACTCCTTGACCTCTCTGCTGCCTTTGACACCGTTGATCATGCTCTCCTCCTTCAAACTCTTCAATCGCTCGGTCTCTGTGACTCTGTCCTCTCTTGGTTTTCCTCCTATCTCTCCCAACGCTCATTCAGTGTCTCCTTTCCCAAGCATACCTCCTCCCCTCATCCTGTCTCGGTTGGAGTTCCCCAAGGCTCTGTCTTTGGTCCCCTTCTATTTTCTCTTTATACTGCCTCTCTTGGCAAGCTTATTGCCTCTTTTGGATTCAACTACCACCTGTACGCTGATGACACTCAGATATACCTCTCCTCCCCGGACCTCGCCCCTGCCGTCCTGCAACGTGTCACTGCGTGCCTTTCTTCCATCTCTGACTGGATGTCCTCATGCTTTCTGAAACTCAATCTCTCTAAAACTGAACTCCTTGTCTTTCCTCCTCCTAATACTGATCCTCCTCTCTCGCTCTCCCTTCAAGTCAGTGATAGCCACATAAGTCCATCCTTGCAAGCACGCTGTCTTGGCATCATACTTGACTCTGGCCTCACCTTTGAGCCTCACATCCAGTTTGTTGCCAAATCCTGTAGGTTCCAACTCAAAAACATAGTCCACATCCGCCCCTTTCTTACGCAAGATGCAACCAAAGAGCTTGTCCATGGTCTAGTAATTTCACGCATGGATTACTGTAACCCTCTCCTGCCGTATTGCCCCGCTACAGTCTGTAATGAATGCTGCAGCTAGACTGATTTTCCTCTCTACTCGGTCCTCTCACACATCACCCCTCTGCCAGTCCTTACATTGTATCCTATAGGAGTCAATTCAAAGTGCTAACCCATACATTTAAAGCACTGAACAATTCTAGCCCCTCTTATATCTCCTCAATGATCCATAGGTATGCCCCTCCTCGTTCCCTCCGCTCTGCCCGTGACCACCTCCTGACCACTGCTCGCACCCGTACAGCCAACTCGCGTATGCTGGACCTCTCACGGGTGGCTCCTTTCCTATGGAATAGCCTGCCTACCGCCATCAGACTCTCCCTTAGTCTTCAATCATTTAAGAAGAGCCTTAAAACCCATCTCTTCAGGAAAGCTTATGGCCTCCCAGAGTAACCTCTACCTTACATACCTGTCTCTTGATCTCTCCTATAGGGCAGCACTCCACCCTCTCCTCCAGCTCTCCTTCATTCCCGCCCTATTTGATATTTCCTGTTCTAACATGTCTTATACCCCACCTCCTATAGACTGTAAGCTCGTTTGAGCAGGGTCCTCTTCAACCTATCGTTCCTGTAAGTTTTCTTGTAATTGTCCTATTTATAGTTAAATCCCCCCTCTCGTAATATTGTAAAGCGCTACGGAATCTGTTTGCGCTATATAAATGGCAATAATAATAATATAAGGTAAAAATATAACTTGAAGCACTCACAATCTTTTGAGCCTTATAAGTCGGCTCTAAACTGTAGTAGCGTGTCAGTAACTGCAATAGGGTAGCTTTGGTGGAGATCCAACCAAATTCCCTTTGTCTTTAACTATTCTAGTAACTTAGGTATTCTCAAAAAGGTTATCAACAAAAACTGGCACATCCTACAAGAACATATTCAAGAATTCTTAGGTCAAAACCCAAAATTCGTGTTTAGAGGCGCCAGAAATCTTAAACAAATTTTAACGTCAAGTTATGTTAATAGGGAAGAAAAAACTACATTTTTAAAAGACTGGTCAAAAAAACAAAAAGGCTTCTTTCATTGCGGCAACTGTATTGCTTGCAAGAATACTACTGTTGAAGAGCAGAAAAAAATAATTTTTATATATAACTAAAAAAAATTTCTGTCCCTTCCTTTATCTCATGTGACTCTAATAACGTTATCTTCTTAACTGTAAATGTGGACTACAATATGTAGGGAAAACCTCCAGACCTCTAAAAATACGTGTTAGCGAGCATATAAGAAACATAAAAAAAGGTTTCTTAAATCATAGTAGATCTAAGCATTCAACCCTAGAGACCTAGAATTTATGGCTATACAAAAAGTCTCTTCACACTGGAGAGGTGGCAATAATGCACTAAATCTTAGTGAAAAAGAATGTTCCTGGATTTTTGACATTACACCCTAAGGGATTAAATATAGATTTTGAAATTGGACCAATTTTGTAGGATTTATCTTCTATTATTTATGTCCCCATTCTTATTTTATTCTATTTTCAAACACTTTTATCTTATTCCTTTTTTACTTTATTTTTATCTTTGCTATTTTTTAACATAGGAATTGATATAAACCATTATAAATGTCCTTTTTAACATAAGGATATATATTAATCATTATAAATATGTAAGTGTGAAATATGTTTTCTTAATACACTGTATACACATTTGAATCAATTTCAGAGAGTATATTCATTTTTTATTAATTTCCCTATCCCCTTCCGTCTTTTTCCCTCAACCAAAATGGCTAATGTGAGTACTAAAAACTGTTTAGCATCAACTAAAACACGCCCTCCTAATAAGCAAGGGGCAATATGATTGACAAATTTTGCATCCGTTCACGAAAGAACCGGAAATTATGTGATATGACAAAAACCAGAAGTCACCTGATGAGAGAAAAACGTCAGGACCACACAGCCATTTTGAGAAGATCGGACTCTTTGTTTATCCATAAGAAAATAAACATTTATTCCCTATGATGGAAGGGGAAGAAAAACGGAAATACCATAAATGGACTATTTGTGGGTGGGCTGTATATGAATTTAACACACTTGTTTTATATTTAGTTACTTATGTATAGGGTATTTAAACCTTTTATTTACATTCATGTTTATTGCAACTGAGGAAGACGAAGAGAGTGATAGAAACGCGTTGTGCTATTAATTTTATTTCTTAATAAAGAGGTATTTTTATACTTATTTTGGTTCCTGAATTTTTCATCTAAAAGAAAAATATCTATGCTGGGACCATCATCTCCACCAAAGCTACCCTATTGGAGTTACTGACACGCTACTACAGTTCAGAGCCGACTTATAAGGCTCAAAAGATTGTGAGTGCTCCAAGTTATATTTTTACCTTATATGTTATGACTACATACTGCCCTATGAAAGCTTTCTGTATATTACAGGTTTAACAATTTTTATGCATTGTGTGCGCAAACCTGCCTCCCCTTTATCCAACAGAGGCATATGTGTTTAGAGCCTATATCCTCATAAAAGGCTCTTAAAAATGTGAGTTTTTTTTCTTCACTCACCAATTTAAAATTTATCAAGCATTACTGTACAATACTACTCTATATATTTTTCTCTCTGTTTATTTTACATGTATACCCCATGTGTATTGTAAGGGGTAAGTGTACAATTTGCACTATTCTAACACTAAGCTTAGCGCTGCACTTCTATCAAGTAGTGTGAGAGTTTTCTGTATACTGACTCACTACTTGGTAATCTGTTTTCTCTCTGGTTTGACAATTGTAGTGGTTTCTTGGAGTACCCACTAAGTGCATGTAGCTAAACCAAATAATTTCACCTAAATACCACAAAGCACCATTATTCTAGCCACACCTATTCTTGTATTCGTTTACTAATCTGTAGACAGTTCTCTATATTGCGGCAGAGATTGTATTTTTGAAGTCTGAGATTTGTAATTATCCGTAAACTCAGGTTGAAACTGTTGAAAAGCCACTGCCGCACAGACAGAGTGTAGTGGTGTTATGGAGACAGGCTCAGGCACTGAGGGTAGTGGTGTTGTGGAGACAGGCTCAGGCACATAGTGTAGTGGTGTTGTGGAGACAGGCTCGGACACCGAGTGTAGTGGTGTTGTGGAGACAGGCTCAGACACAGCGTGTAGTGGTGTTGTGGAGACAGGCTCAGACACAGCGTGTAGTGGTGTTGTGGAGACAGGCTCAGAAACAGCGTGTAGTGGTGTTGTGGAGACAGGCTCAGACACAGCGTGTAGTGGTGTTGTGGAGACAGGCTCAGACACAGCGTGTAGTGGTGTTGTGGAGACAGGCTCAGACACAGCGTGTAGTGGTGTTGTGGAGACAGGCTCAGACACAGCGTGTAGAGGTGTTGTGGAGACAGGCTCAGACACAGAGTGTAGAGGTGTTGTGGAGACAGGCTCAGACACAGAGTGTAGTGGTGTTGTGGAGACAGGCTCAGGCACTGAGGCTAGTGGTGTTGTGGAGACAGGCTCAGACACAGCGTGTAGTGGAGAAAGGGTCAGGCACCGAGTGTAGTGGTGTTGTGGAGACAGGCTCAGGCACTGAGGGTAGTGGTATTATGGAGACCGGCGTTGAGACTATGGTGAGGCCTAATAGAAAGCAGTTGTTGTTGGGGGATTCTATCATAAGATGTGTGGAGCTGGACAATAGTGGTCTTGTGAGATGTCTTCCTGGAGCTACTGCTCAAAGAGACAGGTGACGTAATATTGTTAAGTGAGCAAAGCAGGACGGGGATTGCAATGTACTTGTCCATCTAGGGACAAATAACTTGGCTTGCAATGAGGTTTCATGAGGCTTGCAATGAGGGTTCTGCCAGTGCATAACACTCAGAACGACAGGCGGATGCGTATTAGGGACTTTAACGTGTGGCTTGGTGAATGGTGTCGGGAGCAAGGATTTGGCTTTATTGCTTCTGGTAGCTCTGTTTGGAATGTTTAGGGAATAAGTTCCATGAACTTATGGCAATAATGGCAACTGATAGTGTAGATTTAGTCGCTTTTACTGAGACATGGTATAATGAGGAAAATGACTGTGACATAGCAATACCAGGGTACTCTTTATATAGAAAAGACATGGAAGGCAAGAAAGGGGGAGGGGTGGCCTTGTATGTGAAGGATAGCATAAAATCTAGCCTAAGTTAGTGAGGCAAACATAGAGTCCGTTTGGGTAGAATTTGGTAATCACACAGTAACTCGTGTAGGTGTGATTTATAGGCCCCCAGGACAAATAGAGTTAGATAATCTACTAGTTGGGGAAATAGCTAAAATGACAATGAAGGGGGAAGTTATCATCATGGGTGACTTTAATCTTCCTGATGTGAATTGGAAAACCAAAATAGCTGCTTGTGCCAGGAGCACACATATTCTAAACTCCCTACTGGGATTGTCTCTAAAACAAGTTGTTGAGGAGCCAACTCGTAAGGAGGCCATACTAGATTTAGTGTTAACAAATGGAGATTTGGTATCAGATATTACTGCCCAGGGAGTTCCCCTCCGTCCGTTCCAGCCCCCCTGGGCCATGTGATCGCAATTATTATTATTTTATTATTTATATAGCGACATCAGATTCCATAGCGCTGTACAAAGGGTGGACTAACAGACATTTGATTGTAACCAGACAACTCGACGTACAGGAACAGAGAGGTGGAGGGCCCTGCTCAATGAGCTTACATTCTAGAGGGAGTGGGGTATAGTGACACAAAGGGTAAAAGTAGGGGTACGAAGTAAGTTGTTAGAAAAGTATTCGCTGAGGGCTTAGTAGGTTATTTTTGACAGTTGCAGGAGAGGAGTCATGGAGGGTGTGATAGAATTTATTTTGATTCCAAGGCTCAAGCTTATAGGTGTCATATAATGATATCCTATATTAAAATTGGCTAACTCGGACTCAGGAAATGATTGATGCTTCACACGACACTTAAGACCATATATGTCTAGTTCCGGGAGCAGATAGCCCCCACCTGAGATGTCTCTTCTCTAATCTTTGTGTTCTTTCTCTGAACTTATTTGTTATGTGTACATGACGTTCATCCCTATGTCTTAACTTTACTCCCTTCCTACAACTGTCCTATGAGTATTTGCACGTAAGCACTTACTTTTTAACGTATAAAAACCCAGCTGATGAATAAAACGACAGAGGCTTATTTTGAATACCAACAGGTGTCTGGTGTCTAATTCTCGCTTCTCCAAGTGCACTTGTAATAATAATTTGGACTTCCTCTGAATATAACAAAGATCATTATTTGGATCCACAACAAGGGTGGGGGATAAAAATCTGCAGTTTTAATTGATATGCTTTCTTGAAGAAGTGAGTTTTCAATGATTTTTTGAAGGAGTGGAGACTGGGTGAAATTCTTATGGAGGAGGGAAGGGAGTTCCACAGAAGAGGTGCAGCCCTGGAAAAGTCTTGGAGGCGAGTGTTAGAGGTGGGAGTACAGACAGAGGATAGACGTAGGTCTTTGGCAGAGCGTAGGGGCCTCGACGGGTCATACTTGTGTATTAGGGAGGATAGGTAGGTTGGAGCAGAATTATGTAGGGAGTTGTAATTTTAAATTGAGCCCTATATCTAATTGGGAGCCAATGCAGGGACTGACAGAGTGGGGAGGTGTGAGCGGACAGGAAAATAAGCCTTGCCACTGCATTCATTATAGAATGCAACGGTGCAATCTGGGAACACATAAGACCACTGAGAAGAGTATTGCAGTAGTCCAGACGAGAGAGAACAAGAGCGTGGACCAGCACCTTAGCCGCATCCGGGGTTAAATAGGGGCGGATGCGCACTATGTTTTTGAGATGGAAGCGACAGGATTTGGCGATTGATTGGACATGAGGAGTGAAGGAGAGGTTGGAGTCAAAAAGAACACCCAGCAAGTGAGCCTGCGAGGTAGAGGTGATGGTAGTGCCGTTGACTTGGAGGGAGGGAGACACGGGAGTAGTAACACTTAAGGGAGGAAAGATCCGAAGTTCTTTTTGGACAGGTTCAGTTTAAGGAAGTGAGCAGCCATCCATTTGGCAGTCAGAGACACAAGTCAAGATAGGCAGAGAGAGATCAGGAGAAGACAGGTAGATTTGCGTGTCAGCAGCATAGAAATGTTAATGGAAGCCAAGAGAGGCAGTGTAGATAGAGAACAGTAGGGGACCAAGGACAGAACCTTGGGGGACGCCGACAGAGAGTGGTTGGGGGGAAGAGGCAGAGCCAGAGAAAGAAACACTGAAAGAGCGCTGGGAGAGGTAGGAGGTGCACCAGGAGAGAGCAGTATCCCGTAGACCAGTGGTTCCTGGTTCCAGTGGTATCTAAGGTGTTTTTAGAAAAAAAGAAAAAAACACCTTGGACACATCAGAGTGATCCCTAAATCCTGGACTGGTAGGGGTTCCACGAGGACTGGTTTAGGAACCACTGTCGTAGACCAGAATTATGGAGAATGCGAAGAAGCTGTTGATGATCAACAGTGTCAAAGGCAGCAGAAAGATCAAGGAGAATTAGGATAGAGTAATGGCCGCGAGATTTAGCAGCAATGAAATCATTGGATACTTTGGTCACAGCTGTTTCGACAAAATGACCAGTGCGGAATCCAGACTGAAGGGGGTCAAGTAGAGAGTTGGTTTCGAGAAAGTCAGTCAGTCTGGTGTACACAACTCTCTCGAGGATCTTGGAGGCAAATGGCAGTAGCGAAAGAGGGCGGTAGTTGGATAGGGAGTTGGGGTCAAGGCAGGGCTTTTTCAGAATTGGGGTTACAACTGCATGTTTGAAGGGTGAGGGAAATGTGCCGGAGGAAAGGGAGAGATTGAAAATGACCTCGCGATCACATGGACAGCATAGCCGTCCACAGCAAAGTTTAAAATAGTTTTAAAAGTGTAAAATACAATCATATATACTTAGATCCTATATATGATATTTGTGTTCGGGGCATTCTCATATGATCTAGAATAAGATGGGTTGTAGAGATGTAGCTTTAGGAATAATCGGTTGAGGTGTGCCGAAACCGACGTATGCTGTAGGCCGGTAAAAAGTGGGCAAAAAGAGACATATTAATGCAAAACATTATACAGGATCGTAGTGCATTTGTTAACCATCAGTTAGACATTTTAATGAAAGCTTCCTAATTCCTGAATCGGCTGTGGTATGTAAATCGCATAAGCCTATGATTCCCAACGGCCCCGTGTCTTAACGTGTGCGGGTATGTCTTGGCTATAGGCTGTGTAAGCTGCTCCTATCCTAAAGTAGTCGCTAGGGTTTAGTTCGAGCCCGGTGAATGAGTAGGTGGACATAGTGCATGAACTGTGGTAAGGACAGTATCGTACAGCGACAGTAATGGTTCAGTGGTGTGTATGGTGGCGTGCCCAAGAACGTAATCAGTACCTTAACCGGGCACCCAGCATTGCTTGTAAGGTAGTAGGTTATATGCACTGGCTCGGCCCTCTGACTCATCTTAGTTTTAGGAAGGGACTGGACATAGTGGTCTGTGTGTTTTAGAAGATAAGAGGTCAACAGGCACTCTTGTTTATGATGTTGGCTGCTGATAGTGAGTTATTGTTTTGGCCTGAGAAAGCCGTTAAAGGCTAGATAGGCTCGGAAGTGCATGGTCGAGTGGTTCTGACATGGTTTGAAAATTGTATGTCTATGGCCAGTATTTAGTGTTTGCAGGAACGTCCGCTTGGCCATGTCTCTAAGTAAGGTATGGATGGGGTAGGAGGATAGGAACCCTTGTTGTTTGGGAAAGAGAAATACGTATAGTGTTGAATGCCCATGTGATAAAGTTTAACCGTGTTGTGCGAGAATTATTAATTTAAGGTGGCAAAAATAGGCGAAGGCCATACGTGGTGAAACCTCAAACCAGCTATCTAAGTGATAGTCCGACATGAAACATATTGTATAAGTGGAAAACCCTGTAGCAAGCGTGTTGAGTGCTGGTGGGCAAGGCCAGTTTAGTCATAGCCCGGCTATGTTGGCGAGGTTCATGTAATCCATGACCTTGACCATAAATGACCCCCCTGCCATGGCGGCTGTCACGGCAGCTGCCACAATAGTTTGCCATTACGTGTGGTTAAGAAAGTCCACCATATGTGTAGGTCTGCCATGGCTTGGTTGTCTAGGGACAGCCCCTGATCATCATTCGGGAGGGAGGAAAAAGCAGAGTGGTCTGAGATGAAAGCGCGGCCTGCGGTATGATGCGCATGGCAAAATTTAAGGAACCTGGTAGGGATTGTAGTTCCATGTTGTTGCAAGTACCAAGCAGGAGGTGGTAATTGGTGTTGTTGCGACTGTTCCTATTTCTCGCGTGGTAACTTGTTGGCATGGATGCCGAGTCAAGTTGTTTGCCCAGGAATGTAACGGTAGTGTCTGGGTCTTCTGTGACCTTATGGAATACTAGGACACCCAAGTGTTCAGACATACTAATGGCTTCCTTGAAGCTTCTAGAGGGAAAGGCATTCCCTTTGACCAACAAGAAATCATCTCAGGAGTGTATGACTGTGGGGCATCTGGATATGTTTAACCACAACCAGTAAAGAGTACAACAAATATATTGAAGATTGTGGGCTGCTCTTGACCCGAAAGTTAAGCGGGATAAGAAATATATAACTGCTGCCCATAAATGCCCTGTAAGTGCCAGTGCAAGGTGGATGGTAGCATAGATAAAGGATTATATATACACTACAAAAAACGTATAGCTGGAAGAATTCCTTGGTGTACCTCACAGACACCCAAGAAACAATGTAAAAGAGCAAAAAAGTGGA